GTGGAAATTTTCGCTGCTACAAAGCACTAATGAGGAACTGTAAAATAGTAGTATACCTATATAATTTCGTGTTGAAAATTTAAAGAAAAAAAAATAATAAAAAAAGAAATCCCGTAGCTTAAAGGTACAATGTAAATTTAATTAACTAGTTGTGCGCGTGTCAAGTACTTATTACTATTTACTTTCTATAAAAGGACATTTTCCACATAATACTGGTATGCGAGTGTTTGACAAAATAAATCGTTTTTCACTATAAACTGAATAATTATTGCGGTAGGAAACTAACTGGTTATTGTTAGAGGGATTTAAAATGTCTCTAAATAAATAAGAGATAATAGTTGACTCGGTGATATTGTAGTATTCAATTGGTAGACGCGTTATTATTAGTCACTGTTTAGTGCATAATTAAATTCTTACATGAAATCTATGGGGATTTATTTGTTTTATTCGAGCTTTAAATATTTAATAAAATTTGAAATATCGGTGATTAAATCATTTGGTCAACCACTTACTTATCTAGTCTCTTCAAAATTGTTGTTATGTCCTGTGTCTTGTGTGTAACAATATGATAATATCCGATTTTCCCGTGGTTGATCAGAGATAAATCTAAACAATCGAATCCCATTGACGGATATGTTATACGTTTAAGATAATTATATAATGTCATTATTCTGTGATATTTTGTTGTCTATATTGTACTTTATACTTTTTTCTTTTTATAATATAAATTATTTAGTCTTAAAATATTGTTATACGAAAAATATGGAAGGAAACTATCAGTGTAGCTATCAATGTTTTCAATATCGAAAAAAAACAAAACTTGTTTATCAACGATCATAAACAAGCGACTAGAGAATACAATACTGGACTCCTTCAACGATTCCGGGAATCAGTCCCAGGATCCTAGTGTCATCACGGAAATATATTTGAAATTTAAAACAAAAGAAATAAAAAAATAAATTTTATTTCTGTTTATTACTTTTTTAACTAAATGTTTTTAAGGAATTGTGGTAATCCTTTTTAACTTTTCAGTTTGATGAATATATATCACTTTTATTGCACACTTATAAAATATTTTTTAAAATTAAAAAAAATAATTTACATTGACGACTAACCTGTTACATTTTTTTATAGGCAGTATAAAAAAAACGGCCTCAAGATATTTTTCACCATATACCGTTGACTATTCAATTAAGCTATATACTATTGAAGTGCAGAATTGTTTGTTTTCTTAAATAATGCAGACATTATTAATTAAAATTCCTGGATTAGTGATATTCATTATAATGCTTTATATAGATAGGTACATTTTTATAATTAATTTTATGTAGATGACAACGATAAATAAGTTATTTAATCTGTTATATTAGGTATACATAATTCAATCATCTAGACAAATATTTTTAAAAAATAATAAGTAAAAAGTTTAATTTATATCAATCACAAAACCTTTTTAATATCTAGATTTGTACTGAACCTGGTTTGCATTTACTATGTTTGTGTTTTGTATTATGTAATGACCTATATTATAAGAGAAAAATTATTCTATAAGTTATCTCCTATAATCTTTAAATAAGTATATTAAAATTTATTATCACATAACGCTGATTAAAATATATCGATTCCGAGATTTCTGGGACAAAAAACTAACCGTGGTCCAGGATACCGCGATTGTATTTTCTATGAACGCCTGATAGCGAATCTTACGAAAAATAAGAGAGTATCTATCTACCTACTACAAATACGGAGTCATAGGCGAGTATGAATATAATAATTTTATCATTTATAAAAATATTAACTTTTCTTATTGTTGTCAAAATTCATAATATTATGTGTGAATATTTATTGCACTATAACTGTATAAATTTCAATTTTTTTAAAAAAAATTATGCCGTTCAATCTTTTTATTATACGTTTATTATAACATGTACCTAATCTATTTTGTTATTTATTATTATTATTTTTTTTTTATATTTTTAGTGGCTAATGTCGTACTTATTATATATATTTGTACCTCACATAAAAAAAAAAAAAAAAGTATTTTATATTGTTTGATGAACAAATTAAATATTATTAATTTACGATATACAAACAATATTATAAATACACGGAAGACTTTATATTTAAATGATACCATAATAAATTCTATATTATTTTTTTTTCCACTCTCTCCTCCTCTCTATATATACTATATTATATATTACCGTGAATACACTTTTTATAAAAATAGCATTAACCATTATATTTTGTTGTTTTGTTAATTTGAATGTATAATGTTAATAAAATTATGTCGACAAAAAAAAGTCAAAGTATATGTATTTTTTTAAATCTATATAAATAAAAGTGAAAAATCCAATCATTGTGCGATTTTTTCATCGATTTTAAAAAGGATCATTGGTAAGAAATGCACCATTATATTTAATTATTTTATCATAAAGTATAAAAAATATACTCATATTCAGTAAAATATTTATATTTTGACCTTAGTATGACGTTCTATGATTCTCAAAATATTCTGGTGAATTTGGAGTTGATCGTAAACATGTGACAAGTGTCGGGTTTTTTATTTATACTTATGGTAGATATTTAGATAAAAAAAAAAATGGCTAAAAAATATATTGACTGAAAATAGTCACAAAAATGATTGACAAAATCTAAAAGTTAATGCTTTTTTCAAATTTAATTTAATGTAGTAATTTCTTTTATTATCTATTTAGAACCAAAGTTTAAAAAAAATGTTAAGAATTACGGCAGATTAAACGATGTAAAACTGTCTTCAGACAGAATGGTTTTTCATTAACAACGGTTTATCATTGGTTGCAGATCTTATCTAAATTGCATTATGTATAATACCTTTCCAAATTTCTATATATGTTGTATATTATTAAAATTATCTTTATGGTTTTCGCCATAGCTATAGATGAGTATTACATCATCTATGAAAATATGCAAAAGGAAATTTTGGAGAATGCATTCATTTTATGAAGAGTAGAAGATATGCAATTCGATGTCACACGGTATCATTGAAATATAATTACACTTATTTTGATTTTTAACAAAATTCATTATTTTCATAAGACCTGTTACGTACCTACACGCTATTATATGTACACTCGTGTGAACTCGTATTAATTGTATTAAATTGTGTGCGCATTGAAAACTTCGTGAGATCATCCTGAATCGTTAAAATATACGCGTTTACTGTACAACAAGATCAATAAAACAAATTATCAAACATGGCTGTTGATGTCGTGAATCTCTTCTTGGGTTAATTCAAATTTTAAATGTATTAAAACCTAATTTTTTATCACGAATTTGCAGATTATAGTTCAAACTACTGTTCAAGTACGAGATCATGTCGATACTACAATATGATACATTAAAAAAGTCTTCCAAATGTCATTTTTCGGTCAAACGTTCCATAAGATAATAATTTTTTTATTAAAAACTGAGTGTACATTTTGTGCGTATAATTGAAGTCAAACACCTTACAATTAAAAAGCAAGATTAAATTGTATTGTTTTGATAAGGATTGAAATAAAATGTTACCACATTATTCTATTGTCACGAAATATAAAATGGGCTTATAATAACTGAAATAGCCATGGCAATAACGTGGGAAAATTTCGGATTTCAGATAGTTCGAAAATCCGAATTCTAGGATTTTAATCTGGACAGACATAATTTGCTCAGGATGTGTTATTATTTGCATTTGCATAAATTATATATATATTTGTCATCAGGGGAGTAACCTTGAAAACGTGTTAAAAGTCAAAATTTTAAATGACCAGAAAAGATCGAAGTTTATATTCATATATGTATAAAAGTGGTATATTCTGAAAGAGAGGTTTGACTTGCACGATATATTAAAAGTTACTCAGAATGATTTTCTGATTGTATTCATTCATAGTGTCGCTAGTATGTGTGCGAGAGTCAACGCCAAATGACCGAAAACCGAGGCCGACCGTAATGATTTTTGTCGTTTTACGTTCGGCCTTGAAATATTACTCCAAACGAGCGTAAATAAGTTTCACTTCAAAAATAAAATAAATATGGAGTTTTCAGAATCATACATTAACACTTACATAACACTCTAGAAGTAAAGATTTTTCACCAGTAAGATAACCAATACACATGCTGTTGTATTATTTTAAAGATTTTTGAAGGATCTTGTAATAGTACCAAGTAACGCTTTTGAGTAGTCACATACGCACTCATTTGGTATAATAGTAGTGTTAACCCAGCTTGTTATCCAATGATAAATAGATATCAAATACTGCTTTTCAGATAACTTAATTAATAAATTTAAGCTGTCAGGACAGTTTAAATTTCTATTTCTGCAACCATTTGGTATAAAAATATATGCGCCGATGCTATTTTATTTTTGGCTCTCATAATAGGTTGCACAAGATATCCCGTAGCATTAACCGATATCTAATATCCGACATCTGACAGCAATATTTTATCTATTCTTTCCATATGTTTTTTTAGAACCCAAATTTTAAATTAATTTCCTTTATTTTAAATTATAACATCAGCGTACAAGTTTAACAAATAAAACAGAACCTTAGTTATTGAATACACACAGTAACTATTACGTAAAATGTGTGTGCCTGCAACTCGAGTTTTATAATTTATGACATAATTAGAAATATAAACAATCGACATACGTTAGTGCTATTCGTGATTAAATTAAATAACACCCATTATTAAAACGAAATTACAGTAAACTTGAAAAACAAAAGAATACCAAATTATTTTAGTTTGTCATTTGCTGTTTGTGAACATGAATACATTTTTTGTCCTATTAAAAATTATTATCTTGTTACATTTACGAATCGTAGTTTACAGAGTGAAATTCCTATTCGTAATATGGGCACATTTTATTTTGTATCTGCACAAAATCATATTTCAAGATTGTAATATTAATATATATACATTATAATATATTTTATTATTTTAAATATTAATACAAGTTTTTACTATAGGTAATAATTTATATGGCTGGGCCATGTTACAGTACATACCTACCGGTGTGTTCAAGTGATCAACCCACCTTAAACGGATTAGACCACCTTGATGTAACTTCGCCCATAGGACGGATGTACGAAGTTGAAATATCGTACCCCGTTAGCCTTCATGGCGTCCACAGCGACCTGCCTTTCTTGACGGAAATTTCTGTCCCAGCAGGCTCGAAGGTGTGGAAGCTAACGGCGACGGTCAAACAAAAAACCAATTGTATAATCAACTATCGGAATTTAAAATTTGCAATTTCCAACAATTTGAAAGTAGATATAAAAGTAAATATATTATTGTGTATTATTTCAGATATCTGAATTTATTCAATTTTTTATTTTAGGTTTACCGATCGGCAGCGTAGATGTTATATAATCCACCTACATCTCCGAATACAGCTGTTGCGGAGTTTGCCGATGACAAGGCCATTATTTCTATCCATGATAATCCTAACACAGCTTCCTACAATCTTCAACTCCACCTTGACCTCATGGCTGATTGATATAAAAAATGGCGTATCAAAGTTAATCAATCCAAATCACTCCATACTTCATCTAACTCTCTGTCCTATGGTGTCTCTAGACAATATTCAAATCCCTTCCTCTCAAACGGCCAAATACTTAGGTCTGACAACTGATCGTCGTCTCACTTGGTCACATCACATAAAAACTATAAGGCTAGCCTTAAATGCACGACTCCGCATCCTAATCTTTAACAACAAACACACTCCACTAAATACTAAACTCTTAATTTACAAATCCCTATTCAAGCCGATGTGGACCTATAGTCTTAAACTCNCGCTTAATTAAAAATTCTCCCCCTTACATCTCAAATCTAACTTTACACACCGATTTTAAAATGAAATCAATCCATGAAGAAGCAGTAGCCTTTTACAAACGATTCCACTCTAAACTCCCTTCTCATTCCAACCCTCTCATTTCGAACCTTGCCACTCTCACTATTCTTGGGAATCCTCCCAGAAGGCTCAAAAGGAAATGGTGTCGAGACCTCTTCACTGTTTGATTAAAAAAGCAATATAAATAAAAAAAAAAAAAAACCATCAAGTTAGGGCAGTGTTACCACTGGGTGACTCCTCTTATCAATTCATCATGTTTTAATCTTTCTCATTTACCAAATATTATTTTTGTTCCTTATGGAACAGATTGTATATTTCTATAATAATAATAAAAAAATAAAAAAAAAAGGTTAACCGAGTTCTACATTTCAACCAATCGCCGTGGTAGGTGGATTAAATTAATTTAAACACCAAAATGAGGAAGAAAGTTACAAATGAGTTTTAGAAAGATATTTTCTAGCTGATGAACAATTCTGTAAATATTATAATAATTTTAAATAACTTATCGATAACCAATACCTCTCCTAAAGGTTTTCGGTTAGACGATGGAATCGTTAAGAAAAAGGAAAAAAATGGAAAGGTCTCTTGCGGCAAGCAGCCAGTGTAGAAGTTGGTGAACAAACCCACGTTGAACCATTCTATACCGCTCATAGAAAATTTAGAATTTATTTGTTTAGAAAATAAAATTATAAATTTTGACAAACCAATGTATGTATAATTACGTATTTAACTTTATCCATATTTTATATATTAATAAATTAATTGATACAGAATTTGCGATGCTAGAGGTTAGTAAAACGCTAATGTGCAAGTATCATTATGATACTATGAAGTTATTTCATTGATATTATTAAATTTGTATACCGACACAGGTAAATTAATATTAGTAAATTTTCTTTTTTGTATTAAATGATTTATTTTAATTTAGATTCGTTGGTATGTAATGTGTCGACGAAAGATTTATATGACGACTTGCTGGCCAAACCGAGGCTGTTGGAGTACATGGATTCTTGTTATGTTTCGGAAAGAAAAAAGTTTCCCAGTCTGTTTTCCGACGAGACAGACGGCCGAACGATGACGGAGTTTGTAGCACTGCGGGCTAAATCCTATACGTATAAATTAGGCGAACAGGAAAAAATCAAGGCGAAGGGTATAAGAGGATATTTGATTAAAAATCACATGTCATTTAATGACCATGTTTAATGTTTGTTTGTTAATAGTGATTTGAATGTGTAAAGAGATAACGTCTCTTTTGGTATTTCCAACATAGAATAAAAACTATCACTACAAACAAACTCACATACAACAACCGTGACGATAAGAGAGTAACAATGAGTGATAGAATACACATCTTACCCCACGGCCATTATAAAATTGAGTTCGTTCGGTTAATAATTAATTATATTTGATCACAAATTTATTAACAAAATTATAAATATTTGTTTTAGCACTATGATAGGAAGGGAAATATTATAATATTTTACGATGGATGACTGGAATTAAATTAATTTATTAATGTACTTTTAGTTTTTCTTTAAACCAAATCATTGTAAATATATTGTAAACTATAATATTGAACGTTGTACAAATATATAGTTTTCGTATTAAGTACAGTATACTATTTATTTATTTTTTTTTTTTTAATAGCCGAGAGCATAAATATAATAAGTTTTTTAAACCGTAAAATAAAATTATTTGTTAATAATACCCCTGACATAAAAATGATTTGTACATGTGGTATAAAATATAACATATTATGTTGTAAATCGATTATAATATTTTACTTTAAAAATAATCATCTCAGATAACATAAATAATTATCCACAGGTATTATTTAAATTATGTGTTATAATTAAACTATTTTCTTAATGAGAAAAATTTATAAAATGTAAATTGTTTTGGATTCAAATCCATATGAAAAATACAATGTGATAAATTGTCTTCATCACATAATTGATCTAATCGCAGGCAATGCATGTCTTCCATGTTAACGATGTCGACTAGCGGGATAATTTCTTTAATTAATTATCGTTTCTGGTCTCCCTTGAAGTATGTGTGTGTTCGAATTTCAAACGATCGAGTTCTTCATACTCTACGTCGTCGTATCCTACAAATAAATGATGGAAGTTTTGTACGAGCTATTTATTAATCATGTGACTTCTTTCATTTCGAACGGTGGGCGAAAGTTTAAATGCTATGATGACCACATTTCTGTATCAGTTACAGACAATTTTTTTATCAGATATTTATTTTCTAACCGTAATACATACTGAATATCCAGAATAGTTGAAGATATCATAAGACACGTCTTTCTTATATAACTGAGGTTAAAATCTTTATTTTCTAATGCCCTCTAAGGAATCTCTGAAAGTTTTTTCGATTTTGCTTAATCTGAAATATAGATTTAAAATATTAATTGTTTCCAAGATTAAATAGTCTGTGATAGTCTTAATATTTCTTCTGGTCAACGAATGAATGACTATAATTTATTATTATATATTAATTATTTTATTAGTTTTTTCCAGATTAAAAATCATCTTATTTCTTTCGCCTTCTTAAGTTCTTCCGAACATATTTATAGTTAAAGTACGACTGATATTATTTCATAATCGTATTCTTATTCATCCAAATATTGAGACAGTTATCAAATTCCAACCATTTTAGAAAAACTGTTTGTCCTTTGACATGGATTACTTTTTCAAGTAAGTAATCGTTGAGAAACTCTTTTTTATTCAATTATTCGCTATAGAAATAGCCGGCGTTTGAATCCTCTGTATAGTCTTCTAACATATACATCGTAGGTATCGTTTTATTAATGCATGAAAAATAAGAAAATCGGTATAATATAAAAAAAATTATAAAAGAAAATGTATATACCTTTTTAATTATTTTACCATAATATGATATATATTTATATATATATATATATATATTGTTGAAAAAGCATCACTATCACAACTGAACTGCATTTAGAATCGTGTTTTTGTTAGAAACAAATTATCGTTGCTTATGGATAAACATAAAATTACAAATAACAGTGACTTTACCTAACCCGTTTATTCTAGGACGTCTAATTAAACGAATAATGTAAATATTTTAAAATTTTGTGAGAAAAACACATATTAGTTTTTTCTATAAATGGTAAAATTTTAAAATATTTGAGCTATTTTTAGCTATTTATAGGCTTTAAAATCTGTGAGTTATTTAAATAATATTTATTCAAAATTTCAGCAAATTTGAGGTTCATTAAATGTCGTACTTGTGTTAAAAAAAAATATTTGTATTAACTTTTTTTTTGTTTTTATACGTATTTAATTATTACGTTTTAACGAAATTCATAAATGTTATAGTCTTTCATAAAAAGTATTAAAGATCATCGCTTTATATGGTTTTTTTTTCTAAGTAGTTCATCATTGATTTATTATATAAATTAAACAACTTTATCTATCATACTCGTCCACGCAATCGGAAATTTTTAAATATTACTTATATTTTTTGAAACTAATTATATATTAGTGTTAATAAAATAGCACGTCCATAATATTATAATATGCTAAGTAAAGAAATAGGTAAAACATGATAATAATAGAACATTGGCCTTAGTCAAACATCACCGTTGTAGATCATAATTTAATATTTTCCGTGATACTAATTGTCTTACGTAATGATTATTTCACTGTACAACGGTATTTAACGGGTTCAAATATAAGTTTTTTATGTTTGTATGTGTTTCTTTAGAAAACACAATGTAAACAAATAAATTGTATTTT